GAAAACAGATAAATTAACTTTTAAATACACACAAAGATACGTCTTTCTTCAACCGTTCTGAGCAGAGAGCATGAGGAGCGTGACAGAGAAACGGGGAGGGTGGAGCGGTCACAACCCCCAAACTGGAGGCAGAGTGTGATGATGATGATGATGATGAAACAACTGATGAGTCACACTTTACTGTCAGAGGTTGTAAAGGGAATGCTCGCTCACCCGCCTTGAAAATCAGCATGCGATTGTACCATCATGGCTGGCATTGACTCATATCTCCTCCACCGTGTTGCTCAGCCAGTCGCATTTCATCACAACAACGGGGGATACACAGCATCGTTGTGTTTAGATTAACATTGCTGCAAGATGTCCCTAAAACCAAAAGTCTTTCAATGCCCATTCCTCTTTGTTTTTCTGGGTTTTAATCTGCATTTAAACTAAGTGACTTTGTATATCTACTGCAGGTATAGGTGTGTGTGTCTCTGCGCACCTGCAAGTGTGTGTGTGTGTATCCAGTTGCAGATGGTGAGGTCTCTGTTCTCCATCAGTGGGATCTCAGTAAAAACAGATGCCCATGCAGGACTGTGCATGTGTTCCCATTGTGTCTAAACCTGTCTGTGCTCCTCGCCTTGTCTCTGTCTCCTCCTCAACCTGGTCCCATTAACTCTTTACCACGAGGAGGTTGGGACAATGAGGATTACTCTATAAAACACTGTTAAAGTTCCTGCCAAGTGGGCCACCTCCAGTTACAATGCAAGCTTGGAAAACAAGGGCAAACACACACAGTAAAAAAAAAATCATTGGCCATGTTAAAACGGTCCTCTGCCTAATGGTATTTGATAGCGATGAAATGTGCAGGGTTTACCACCGGTCCATGCAATGAGTCTTAATTAGCCCTGGAAATTAGTTTCATTTGTTACTTATACTAACTGAAATGTTCTTGACACAGTAAAACTAACCATTTGGTACCTCAAGGAAGGTAAATATTCTCAAATGATTTGGCATTACTAATTGACTGCAACATCAGATTTTTTATTTATTTTTCTGGCCTTTGCCCATTGCTAGTCTATGAGCAGTGTCCTGAGCGCCTGAGGATAGCCCTCTTTCAGGCCCTGTAGTATCTGTCTAAACACTGATACAGCTCTCCCAGTGCTTCCTCCTGTCATCCAAAGACCTGGCTGCTAAAACAAACACTGACCCATCCATCTGTCAGTGACATGCCACAGGTATGTGAAAAGCAGGAAATCATCTCTTCTGCCAGTGCGCTCATGCAGGCCTTGGTGCACACATAAAACCACTTGCTTCTATTTGCCTATTTATGTGACTTTGTAGAGGTACAGTTTACATTTATTCGGATAAAGAGGGAGGCTTGTAGTATGTGTAACTATCACTGCATTCATGAATCCAAGCTTTAGTTGGTTATAGAAGTAACCCACTTTCACTCATGCTACTGTGAATGGGAAGACACACTCAGATAAGAATGAACTCTGACCAAACAGGCATCCTGTCTCTGTCCCCCCATGCTTTTCTAACCCTAACCCAGGGAGCAACCGAGGCCCTGAAAGCCTGTGTCTTTATGGTCCCCCTGGGCTCATAAAGCTGCCAGGCCCAGGATGCAGCATACACTCACTCCACCATCCATGTCACTGCCAGCATCCCTTCACATCAGTAGAGTCTCCTCATGTCAAGTGCGGAGCTGGATGTTTGATGGTTGTCTCTTGCATGCCACTGGGTGTTAAGATAACAAAACCAGATAGTTTCCCGGCCCCCTCACTTTGAGGCTGGACTTCTAGGAAGCTATTTACTATTAGTCATTTCTGTGAGGGAGGGAGGGAGGAGTGGGTAAGGTGGCAGAGTAAACAGGATCATAAAAAGTTTTAAAAGTAGGCAGACAACAAAAGGGGAATGTCCTTCTTAAATGTCTTTCAGTTTCTCATATGTAAGTCCTCCAGTGCACACCTTCTACTTGCCATATACTCCCATTTCCTTTAAGCCTGTCTTGGCGACCTGACCGTCTGATTATCTGAGTTTTGCTTTCTCAAGGGGGAAACAGGAGAAACTCTGGTCTTCTTAGGGGACTATCTCAGTTAGAAAGGAGTGTGTTAGCCATGCGAAACACTCAAAAACCCTCCTCAGATGAAGTGCTGAATGCTTAAAGGCCGTGAGAGTAGAGCCAAGAGCCCAGAACAGACTCCCATGGACCAGGTTAAGTTACAGCACAACTGCGGACAGGCCTATACACTTTCCACACACACACACACACACGCACACACACACGCGCACGCACGCACACACGCACACACACACATAAATACATGCAGTGATGAATCGCACGCAAGCCTTGTGACCGCAAACCAAATACTTGGGTTTGGTTTTAATGAGTGTACCAGGTTCAAGCTTAAGCTGGAATGCTGTTGACTGACCAATTGAGTGGAGGATCATATTGATAGAGACCTGGGTTGGGTTGCTCTCTAATTAGCAAGCAAGCGGGCATGATCTTACACAGGTACTGTGTGTGTCCTGACTCTTGCCAGGTTATCAAATATAAGATTGATTCACTGATCCATTCAACATAACAACGATGTATTTCACTAGTGTTTATTTATCTGGGTATCTGTGTGACTCAGAGAGAGAGCGACACCACAAAGCAGGCACGAGCCAGAGGGTCATGTGCGGGTTAGTGATTAGTGTTCTTATATTATATGTAGTGGGGATATTTATTTTGTGTGTTAATCTAATTAAAAAAGGCAGAGATTCAACACATGGGGATTGTTTGTGCACTGAAAATACAATATAGGACACTGTAATTGCATGTTTGGCAAGCTTGCACACCCAAAACTACATGTATAAGCCACTATCTAAAACTTTATCAGGATATGATTTCACCCTCTAAAGCAACACGTGACAACATACCACAGTCAAAAAGGAAGTTTCTGAAAGGAATTCAATATCAAGGTAAAAGACATGAAGGAAGACAAGCTGTGGTAAGGAAAGTAGATGAAGAGAGAAAGACTGCAATTCAGGAAAAGCCTGTATTCTGAGCCTGTGCTTGGCAGCCTGAGTGATCAATATAAATAGCACCAAATGGGCTGTTATAAAATTGTTGAGAGTTGTAAATGATCCCCAAAGACAAAAGTGGAACATAAAACAGCACAAACTCTTATGCACAAGCACAGACATGCAGCCAAAAAATACATTTCCAGTATGTGCATGCATCCAGTATATAACGCCTCCCACCACCACCACCACCACCACCACCACCTTCGTACTCAAACATACACACGCAGCTGTTTTGATTGGCTGAGCAATCAGAAATACTATTACTGACTTCTGTGTGAAAAAAAGAAAGAGAAAGTAAACTCAACAAATATGCGTTTCTTAGGCAAATTACTTTTTTTTTTTCAAGCAAAAAGGTACTTGGCAGGCACACACCCAAGTGAACATGTATTTTTAAGAATGCATGCATGCACACACACACCACTGCTTAAAGCTGACCCAAGGCAATACTTTCCCTTCAATAATGCAAACAAACATCTTTATTGCTTTGTTTGGTGGATGGCATGATTTATGAGAAAAACTTCCCATCAGCAGTATTTCAGTTGCCGTATACCAGGGGACAGTGAAAGGGCCTGACTGTAGGGGAGAGGAGAAGGAGACACTGCTGGTACCTGAGACACACATCCTGTACATACTGCCCCTTGTGGCCATAAGTAGCATAATCAGTTGTTAAACTCATTAAACATAGTGATATTTTACGTTATGTTATTTTATGATTCATTTGAACTTTGCGACATTTTGTTTTCTCTCTCTCTCTCTCTCTCTCTCTCTCTCTCTCTCTCTCTTCCCCATACCTCCCTGTTTAAACCCATTCATTTATCCCAGGTGAGTAGAGAGAAGGAGATCTAATGATTATAGGGACTTATTGTATTATAACTCAGCCAAAGATTAAAGTGAGAAATGGGGGTGGAAGGATGAGGGAAGGCTAAAGTGCTGCGCTGGCATTTTATACACACAAAGACTTTTTAATGCATATGCATCCCCCAATTCTTCTTCACAAATGGGTGCACCTTGAGCGAATATTCCAAGATATCTTTCCAACTAACTTTTGAGGTAAAACAAAAAAGGAAAGAAAAAAAAAGAAGCCAGAGTTGGATTCCGGCTGACAACAGAGGAGCGTGTGTATAACCACTGGATGCACTCACTTTGCCAGAGTGCTCCCGGTGACGGTCGCTAACGGTAGCCGTGATTCGGCGGATATCACACAGACTGGCTAATGAGCATTAGCATTATAGCTAAGAGACGCACAGGTAAAAAACACAGAGGAAGGAACCTCCTGAGGATATGTCTAACTTTTTAAATCCCCTTTTTTTCCTCTCCTTTATTTTCCCCCTACAGACCATTAGCCAGTAGAACCCTCCCACCTCCCCACTCCTCCTCCCTCCCTTTTTTCTTTCTTTCAGTGCAGTGCAATTAGCGCTCTCATTGAATATTGAAGGTATGAAGAAGAATGGGGCTTTTTAGCCGTTTCTCTTCCGCTAGGACCATATCTCCGCTGAGGGATGGCTGAAGGCTTCGACTAAATCAGGATGCTGAGCTACAGCAACAGCACTTAGAGCCAAACAATCACTGATCATTTATTTAGTCAGCCTTATTTATTCATCCCCATTTGCTGTTGCTCAGAGCTGTTATTATTTCACTTACGATTATTCTCATGTGATTCTCGTTTCTTGAAGCAGACAACTGGTCTGAGATCCTCAAATTAATGAGAATCCTTAAGCTTAAGCTTGCCAATTCAGATGATTTTATCACATATGATTGTTCTAGGTGGAAAAATCAGAAACGTCAATTAAGGGAACATTTTTTTGCAATCATAATATTGATCTCCTTTGTATTTTGCATCATATTATGATCTTATTTGCGTGTGTTGCTCTTGTGTTACAGGGTGCTTGCAGCCTCATTTCTCTGCTTTGTGTAAATCAGAACAGAGAGAATAGCCCCACTGTACTCACTTGTGTTGCATGGAAGGTTGCCTGAGGGCTGTATGGCAGGTTACTGGCAGAGGGGCCAGTGCAGATCTGCCAGTTGACTTTCTCAGGACCCAACACACCAGTCTGCCAGCACAAAACACAAGCATTGTCTATAAACCCTCCATGCCCTATGGCCACATAATCAGACATGATCCCGATTAACACAAGCTTGCTGCAGCCATGTATAAACATCCACACATGCACACTGTGCACACTGCATGAACACACACACACACACACACACACACACATAAAAACACATAGTGCTTTCTCAAAGATCTTGCACATTCACATGCACAAACACCAGACATCGATTCTCACAAATGCTAGAATACAACGTCTCATTCTCTCACAGTCTAATACCCGTACCCAGTTCACATTGCACTCTATAAATACGTTTACAGTTTTAACAGGACTCAGTATCAGGTCTGGTATGCTGCTAAACTCCACCACTTGTTGGTTGTGGGGCAGAACTCCCAGGTCAATGCTATGTGGGGTTATGGATGGGTGAGGTGGGATCGAGGCAACTAAATCCCTCTACGTTTTTGGCCTCACTATGAGCTGTTCTGCTGGCAACGGAACAAATTTAACATTAATAATACTCTGTCTTGTGTGCTAATTAAGCCAACATTTCTTTACAGTTTGAGAAAATGAATTAGTAGCAAGGTGTAAAGATCATGCTTCGATGTTATGCAACAGTACTAGAACACATGTACAAGGACACACACCCCACACACACACACACACACACACACACACACACTCTCTGATAAAGGAAGCATTACCGTCTTGTTTCTCCTACCACTTCCTTTCATATAGCCGTGCTCTGTGGTAAGAGTCATAATGCATAACATAAATGCACCACACATAGACAGCGACGCAAATACAGGAATCAAATACACACACAAAGTCATTTCCAGGAAGTCATGCTCACTGCTGTGCAAGTGGCCACAGGCAGCAGCAGACACTTATCACTCTCATTTCTTGAGATTTGATGTGTCTCCTTATACTGAGCAGCACTTGCTGCAGACAGCTTCATTCGACCACATTCAAATAACCACAGCAGTAGCAAAGATATAAATCGTGAAAGGAGGGAAAGAAATTGAAAGGAGACAGGTTGCAGCCAGAGAAGAGACTTGCTATAGGCAAGGGCCAGACCACAGTAGGAGACAGGCTCCAGCCTTCCCTTACAGCTCCATCAATGTTTAATGCAGTGGGGCAGAGAAGGGGCCAAGCCAGGGCTGCCACCCTCATACAGGAGGTCAGCACTGGAGTTGTCAGGGCTGGAAAGAGAGCACCATGATGTTAGAGGAGTGAGGCAGGAGACAATGGTCTGTCACACAAGGCGTCTAATGGTAGACACTCCATCTTAGAGGTCACACACTTTTGTTGAGCTTCAGCTTTACCCTATGTCCCAAAAAGTATTTTCATAACTAATTAGCATTGGGAAAAGTGAGTTGTTAAGGTCATTTAATGCCACAAGGAATACAGAACAAATCTGCAAAATGTTGACTGCCAATGCAAAATGTTTACAGTGAACGTATCTACAGAACTGTCACTGTCAATGTATTCCGTTCACATTTTCCCAACAATATTGACACCTGGCAACTATCATGTGAGTAATGTTTTTATGGTTTCAGCAACTCAAACCACTTGTAAACGATAAGTTCACTTTTCTTCAAGTCTATCTTAATACAATACTCACATGCTTATATGGACATTGAAGGTGTTATTGGTTGGTTCTTCTTCCTGTCCACACTGGCCCACAAAGAAGTCTCTCTCTAAAGGAATTTTATTATGATGGAGGACAAAATCCACAGTCCTTGTTCTGTGCAAAAAATGCATTCACAGTCTGAGTGAGACAAATCATGGAGTTATCTGTGTTGTGTACAAAATTTCAACTCTGTGCTACCACATATTTTGTTTGTTTGCTGAGACACAACAGAGTGACAATAACACAAAGTGGTGACCAATAATGCTTTCACTGTACATACAGGCATGTGGGTACTGCTTTAAGACAGACTCAAAAAGTATGAATGTATCGATTAAGGTTATGAAATATTATGGTCCTGGTTGGACTACCTTTTTTTTAATACGACTTAAAAAACACTTCTGTGTCAAAACTCGACTGCGCATAGGATAATACTTTGTTGGTTAATGTAAGGCTCACAAAGTTTGAACCTGTTTGTGAGAGGACATCCTGCAATGATAAACACAGCACAAGTCTGTGGCTGTCCAGACACCTACTCTGTGATCAGAGCAGGAAAAGACCTGCTTTCTTCAGGTCCACTCCAACTCAGCGGGATGCACTTCATAGTTATCTCCTCTCACAGTATGAAAAGCAAACACACACGCACGGAGGAAGCCTCCCTACACACATTTTAGAGCACAGACACCTACAAGTTGTGATTACCTGGACTAGAGTCTACCTTCCCTGTGATTGGGGCCATCGGCTGAAGGAGGGTCGTTGTATGTTTTTGCTAGAGGAGGAGCGACGTAAACACAGTTACATAGTGACCTTCATCTGCTCTGCCTGTGGAGTGGGCTGTGGCTGTGGGTTGGGACGGATACAAAGGACAGAAGAAGACAATGACAGACAAGATCGCAGGTATAGATGGAAGAATAAGCAGCCAGGATCAGACAGTAAAACACACTAAGAAAGGGACAGATTGGCAGAGAGTTTGGTGTGAAACATGATTTTTCATTTTAACTATATTTATTAAATAGTTTTTTTGCAGCAGCAGTTTGGATTTATCCGTCAAACTGGCTGCGGCAACGCCACGCCCAAATTGTCTGTCAACACACACAAACATCCAGCAATGTACATATTAGCTCAGGCATGTGTCCTGAAGGGATGTCAAACCTGCGGCATCTGTGGTTGGCAGGCAGGGAGGGAGGGATGGAGAAAGGGAAAAGGAGAGGGGAACGCGGGAAGAGGGAGGGAAAGTGCTGACTCTGACACCGTCTCTGTGTGCCGCTAACACAGGAACCAATTAGCTAGGAGCCAGCTTCCGTTGCCTGCGCTGTTATAGGACCTCCTCTCTGAGTCCCCAGGGCTGACTGCAGCTTCAGGGCTGTGGTGGCACATATACTGTATACAGTAGACAAGCTATAGGAGAGACACAGATACTCGGCAGACATGCTACGGACGGGGATGTGGTGTGGCCTTCCAGACAGAAAGGGACAAACAGAGAGAGCAGACAGATGCAGCAGGTCAGAGGTAAAGGGCACTATGTAAAGTGTCTGGAGTTATAACACAAATTAAAACAATACAATGTAAATTCAACGACACACTCTTACTGACCCATCCTTATATCAAATACTGTAGCACATCTAAAAACACCTCGCAACCTCACATACCACACTTTCTGCATCTCATTTCCTCGTACGGAATAAACATATGTCACAATTTCCACAGACTCTGACACTGTCTTTAAAATAAACCACTAGCACTTCTTGTCAACTCACACCTCATCTTATAGCAACCGATTCGAACACATTATATGATGCACGCTCACACAACTGCTCCTTTGATGTGATATCGCACTCGTGCACACAAACAACCAACATATTCACTCTTCTAAATACAGCCAAAAATTCACACTTGCGTATGTACTGTACACATATACATACACCTCCCTAACCTACACTCACCACCTCACTGTCCTGCTCAAAGAGGGCAACCGGGTGACGCAGTCTTTTTATGACAATTATTGATCCTCTGGAGCGCAGTAAAAACTATCCCCAGACAGACAACAAAAATAACTGTAACCATATAACAGCTTCCTGCCAGGGGAACAGATCCCACAGAGCGGCCACGTGACTGGACTATTCCTGGAGCATACTGTAGACCCCTAGCAGGCCCAGGGCACTGACCAGGCATACACTCACATACAGGACGAGGAGAGGAGAGGAGAGGAGAGTAGAAGGTTATGGAAAAGTGTATGTTCAGACTTTGTCAGTTCTTCTGGCTGAAAAATGAGCATTTCATGTGTTTCTGTTCACTGAGAGGCTTTCAATTTGATTGTTTTTGTGCAGCTCCTCTCCCTCACCATATGGTGCTGCTCACTTTTAATTATGATAATATCAAAGTCTTTGTCTTGCATAGTCCATTTATGTAATACCATTTTCTCAATGCAGTACTCACGACATACCCCCCCCCCTTTCATATCCACATGCAGGCACTTTGCACATTTCCTCCAGTAGAGACATGGCTTTTCAAATCTATCCTTTTCCAAAGCCTAAATAATACCATTACACTGACAAAACACAAAAGGAGAAGAAGCTGAATACAATTCTTATTTCAAATGTGCTATTGTATTCATTGCTCTGTGGTTGAATTTGTACCGCAGGAACAATGGACAAGATAAGTCAATATTTCTCCCTCAGAGCAATTTGGCTGTCAGTAGGGAGGAATTACTGTTATAAAGCTGTCTTTGATTCTGCCACCCTGTCATTAATAGAGCCAGCTAAAACACAGCTCCTGGACGGACGGTGACTACCTGAGATGAATGAGATGAGGACAGAGGTACAGACAGAGAAAGTAGGAGCCCAAGAGAGGGATGTTTGACTGTTACTGTAATTACTGTACACTGTAGGCTGTGGCAGAGGTTCCCATTCTTTGTCTTTGATGTAATCCCAGAGCCCTATCAGATGGGCTGGACTGCTCCATCGTAGCCCATTCATAGATGTTGGAAGGGATGGCCTTGTGTAGTTTAAAATGTATACATACAAGACATAGTGGTCCAGGAAATGTCAGTGTTAAGTTGTGGCCTCCTATATTGTTTCTTATTTTCTTAAGGTGCTGAAGCTGACTCAGGTTGGTGGGAAACGAAGACATTTTCTGTCATAGCTGGAGAGTAAATTTACTAAAGACCAGTAGCACACAAAAAAATAAAAAGTATGTGGATATATTTTATTTATTTTAAAATGAGTTGTGCTAATTCACAATCTTTCCTCACAGGAATGTCCCCTGGGGTACATGTATGGGAATCACTGGACTATAGGTATAAGGGGGATGTAGAAAGAAAGAGGGTGGGATGACAACAACAGAAGAATAAGCAATGGAGGACAGATCTGTGAGA